TTTCTTTTTCTTCCTTTTCTTTCTTTTCTTGTTCTTCTTTGTTTTGAACACAGGAGAAGAGAAACAGAGGCGAGAGAGAGAAACAGAGGCGAGAGGCAAAAGAGAGTCATCGCAGCACGTCGTCGTCGCAGCTCGTCGGCCGATCGTCGCATCGCAGCCCCGTCTCCGCCTCTGCCTCCGCCTTCAGCCCCATTTTGATGGCCCCTCCAGTTCCTTCCTTCTTCTCTTCTTCTTCTTCCTCTTTCTCTTCTTCTTTTTCTTCTTCCTCCTTTTTCCTTCTCAAATTCGAGCCAAAGCTTTTGGGCTCTGTAACAGGGCTGTTTAAGTATTTTTAATTTTGAAATTGAATATATACCTGGTTGTCAAAATTCTATTCCTGATTTTTTGGCTAAGGTTTATAATCAAATAAATTTTTTATTTTATCAATTTAAATTTAAATTTTTAGTTTACTTTCAATCTAAATTAAATGTTTATTTTTATTGAGTAAAATTGAAAAAATATATATTTTAATTATTAAATCCAATAAAAAAAGATATTTTAGATGTTTTATATACACTTATATTGAATTTAATAATTAAAATATTATTTTCTTTATCAATTTTACTTAAGAAAAATGGGCAAAATTTTTTTTGTAATTTTTCCTCTTTTTTCCCCTCAATTACGCTCCGTTTATTTTAATAAATAATTCAAAAATTCAAAAAAAAAATCGATATTTGGTTAAAAGGCAAAAAATATTAAAAAAATTTAAAAAGTGAACAACCTATACCAAAAAGTCAAAATTTCTCTTTTCTGTCTACTTTTTGCACATGTTTTCGTAAAAAATCAAAAAGTCATCCCAAACATATTTGTTTGGTTTGTGTTTGTAGAGTAGTTTTTGAGATAAAAAGTATGAAAACTTGTTTAGTTTGCCTTTTTTCAGATATGGTTTTGGAAAATTATTTTGGGGAGAGAGTTTTAAAAAAAATGATTGATTTGATGTGTACAAGAGAGAGAAAATGATTTTGGAAAGTAAATAACCAAACAAAATTTTGAGATTTTTTTTGAAAAGATTTGTTTGATTTGATTACTCTTGAAAATTTGTTTGTAAAGAATTTTTCCAAAAAATTTTTCTGAAAAACAAACCAAATATTTTAACCAAAAAATCAAAAATTACTAAAAAAAAACATTTTCGCAAACGAGGTCAATTGAGTGAAAATTAATTTACGAAATTTTTAATAATAAATTATTTTTGAGAGTGATGAAAAATATTTTCTTTAAAAAATGTGAAAATATTTTACATTGAAACCTTAGTGAAGAATAAATGTGTAAATTTATAACAATTAATGGGCATAAATAAGAGCGAGCAATATATTGATATTTTTCTTATAATTTAACTATGAAAAAAGAATAAATAAACAAAAGAACTTAAGAATAACTAGAACAGAAGGAAAAGAATCAAGAAACAAGTTAGTGCGAGAAAATAGGAATAACCAAATCAAAATGAGAAAAATTAAGCTCATAGAGTAACGTTTTTTATTTTATCTACAAGAGTTGAGTCTTAATTGATAATAACCTATATCATTGGAATAAATTTAACAAATAATATTTTAAGGATATTTTTCATTATATATAAAGAGAGGAAAAATACTTGATAATTCAAATTTGTGTGACTCGAATGACTCGAATATTTCAAAATGACTTCGCTTTACTCTTAAAATGATATCGTTTTGAGACATTCAAGTCATTTGAGATATGAAAATTCATTATATATAAAGAGAGGAAAAATACTTGATAATTCAAATTTGTGTGACTCGAATGACTCGAATATATCAAAATGACTTCGTTTTACTGTTAAAATGATATCGTTTTGAGACATTCGAGTCATTTGAGATATGAAAATTCAGACTATAAAACATTATTGTAAAGAGAGAGGGGTATCCCACTTTTAAATTCAAAGAGGTACCCCACTTTTTGGCTTTACTGGTGGGGTGAAGATGCCCTAGTTGCTCACCATTCAAACATCGACCAAACATTCATGAATTGCAAAATTTAAAGTCAATAAATACTTTGCTAAACCAACCGATGATTGGGGAGTTTTTTCTTTATTTCAGAATATTCTTAAAAAATTTAAATTATTTATGAAAATAATTCATTTTTAAACCATTTAACAAATTAATCAATTTTTTAAAACGATTTCAAATTAAAATGACAAGTTGAAAAGTGATTTCATAATGATATGGCCTATCTAACATTATAGACGTAGCTCTACAAAATTTTATTTTCAAAATGTAATTATAAAATCACGTCTTAAAAATATGATTTCATTGTTAAATGCATCATTGACAATGTGGCATCGTGAAATCATATATTCAGGATGCAAATCCACGCTCTTTCTATCCATCCAATCACTGAATAGCGAAATAAAATTGCTACATTACTTTTTTTTTTTTCCAATTTTAAAAGTTCTATATTCTTAAGAAAAAATTGTATGATACACAAGTCTTATGACTTTTGTAATTTTTGATTATGGCCTATAATAGTATTACTTATTACTTGATAGGAGTTTTTTATAGTGTTAGTTATGATTTATTGTAGTATTGATTATGACATTATTTTAATTATGATTCAAAATATATTTTATTATACCTTATGTAGTGTTTGGTTAAGATTTTTTTTCTTTTATAAATTATGACTGAAGATGATCTAATTATGACATTTATGATAACTAACATTACAAATGTCATAACCCGTATATGCTACACCACCTTAACATGACCCTTTTAAGTAGTGGAGTATAGTAAATACCATGAAAAATATTCAGTGTATTTGGTTTGAGTCTTTTAGATTAAGTTTTTTTTGAAATTGAGTTTTTTATTTTCATTTTTTTCGTTTTTAGTGAATATTTTTAAATTTTTAAATATTTTTTTTTACTTTTTTAGATACACCTTATTTAAATGTATCTAAAAAGTAAAAAATTTGTGAAAAAATATTTTAAAAAATTAATAAATACATAAAAATACAAAAAATGTACTGAATTCTCTTTTTTTTATATATATATTTTTGTATTTAGTGAATTTTTAAAAGTTTTTTTCACAATTTTTTTTACTTTTCAGATATATTTATGTTAGGCATGTCTAAAAAAATTTTTGAAAAAAAATTGCTTAAAATATTAAAAAAATTCAATAAAAACAAAAAAACACGAAAAACAAAAAAGTAGAATTTTCTAAAAAGTGTTTTTGGAAAACTCTAACCAAGCAAAGTGATTATTTCTCTATATAAAACTTTCCACTGTGCTGTGTCCTTAGGGTTGCAATCGAGTCGCGCCGAACTACATTTTGCTAAGTTTGAACTCAGGTCATTTGCATATCGAGCTCGTTTATTAAGTTCGAGTTTGGCTCAACTCGTTAGTATTAATAAAACTCAAACTCAGCTCAGCTCGACTTAACTCGATAATATTTTTTTAGTATTATTTAGAGCTCGTTTGGAAATGGAGGATTTGGGTTTTTTTTGGCTAAAATAGCCACAAAAAATAAAATAAGTTTTTTAGCCCAGTAGACAAAACATCATATTCAACTCATAATCATTACATTTTTTCTCTCACAAAAAATTAAAAATTCTTCCCAAACGAGACTTTTTAACCCCAGACTAAAATAGTCAAAAAGTCAAAAAAAATCACTCCATTCTCAATTTAAATAAAGATAAATAAGTCGAGCTTGATGAGCAGAACTTATTCAAGCTGGAGCCTAATATTCAAGCTCAAATTCGGCTTGTTTACTAAATGAACCAAACCCTTAACGAACCAAGCCAAATTTATTCATAAACAACTTGATTTATTTACAACTCTATGTGTCTCCGATAAAGCAATTCACATTTCGCTAATTAATAATTTATTAATTATAGAACTCTCATCTTTTAAATTTGTGTTTAGTTTTAAAATTTATGGAGGAAAAAGCGAATGAAAAGAACCTTAAAGTCTAAGTAAAGACCATGTTTATTAACCAGCATAGAGAGTTGGTAATTGCTTTAATAACGTTTATATTCTATTTAGTTCATCTTGGTTCATCGAAATAAGATGAAATAGTATTTACTAAAAAAGAAAAGGAGGAAATAAGATGGAACTGAATGAACCAGAGATTCCTTGAATTTTTTTTTTTTTAATAGAATTACAATTTTTTTTAAATAATGAAAAATAATTCCATTTATAATATATTTGTTATTAGTTTTTTAATCTAACCAAATATAAGAATAAATATTTTAATAAAATAATCATTCTATTTCACTTTATTCCAATGAATCAAACATTACCTTCAAAATTCTTTGATTCTTGTGTTAAAGAATAGGATTGGATTCACATTTCTTGCATTTGGATGCACACATGGCGTCCAGCTTGGTGATACCTAAAAATTGAAATCCCACAAGATGGTAACAAATATTTAATACAAATGACGGTAAATATTAATAATCTCACGCATGCTTATCCACTAACTCAATTGGACAATTAATCTAATGATTGATCTCGCAAGCTTATAAACCCCATCACTATTATTCCAACTAATCAAGCAGGGGCTTAACACCATCCTAACTAGTGCAAAACTAACAGGAGTAATTAGTATTATATCTCTAACACAATACCCCGGTGATCGCTCGGATTCATCCTAGATTGGTTTAAACAATTACATTCAAACATAGTTGACATAGCTCTAATCAAAGAAACTATCCTAGCCTCATAAATCATTTATGTTGTGTTAAGTTAGAGGATTTGAGAAGAGATTTGGAAAAAAAAAATAAAAAAAGTAAGTAAAATACGAATAAAATATACCTGTATTTCACCTAATTTCTCACACATTTTCCCTTTCTCTTTCTAAATCTCTCCCCAAATCTTCCAACCAAACACAACGTTAAGCTTTTAATAAGAACCACCAAAATTGAAAGATGACTTTGCTTTCTCCAACCTATTTCATCTGGTGGATATGGATGCATATTGTTCAGCACATGTAAACACTGTTCTCTGCAAACATGTATTACTACAAACATAAAATAAAATTAAGTACCTAATAGAATACCAAGTTTGAACATAAATTCCTCCTTTATCTCACTATACTATGTGAAAAAAAAAAAAAAAAAAAAAAAAAAAAAAAAAAAAGAGAGAAAAGGGGTCAGTTATTTCAAATGAATGTGATTCATTTTCATCGTACGTTTATGTGCAAATCTTGTATTTGAATATTGCACGTCTTGGTTAGCAATGAATCACCAAGGCTATGTCAACAAACCTTGATTTGAATTCTTCTTCCCTTTTTTTTTTTTTCCTTTTCTTTTGGTCTTACACAGCCTGACAAACACAAAGCGCCACCTGCTGCATACACAAAGTAATCAGCTCATTAATGAGAACCAGTTAAAAGAAAAAGGTCAAAAAATTATTCACTTTAGAAGACATTTAAGTCCAAAACTTTTCACAGATATTTATAGTATAAAGAAAAAGGTCAAAAAATTATTCACTTTAGAAGACATTTAAGTCCAAAACTTTTCACAGATATTTATAGTATAAGAAAGTTCACAAAGAGTTTCACAAAAAAATTTAGACAAAAATGACAGCACACTGAGCAACTAAGATTAACGCCGCATCTGTTCAGAGCATGTGCATTTCAAAATGTATACAACCTTCAAGTTAAGGAAACACTAAAACAATGAAAGCACTCTATTAAGTACTTTCCCAGTTCATAATTTGTTGTGTTGTAGGTCGTCTCGTTAAAAACAAGTTAATCTTTTCGAATGCCAGCTCATACGTATTCATGGGTAATTTCCAAGGCCAGTAAATGGAACCTGAAGTTCAAAAGTATACAAGGGTAATTTCCAAGGCCAGTACAGGAACCTGAAGTTAAAAAAGCATGCACATCGCAGAGAAAAAACATTATTCTTAACCATGTAGCATTCAGTTAAGGCCTTAAATTCAATTGGGTTCGGGTCCCTGTAATGAGGAAAAACAGCAAACATAATCAACAAGATTTGAAATTATTGGAGGATATACACATTGTTGGCACAAAAACTGTAAAATGTGCAACTCTGTGAGTTGCAGATCCTTTGTATGCCAATGTCTCAGTTACGAAAAAAATTACCTTCACTAGAGTTGGAGTTGAAATTTATCACTGAATTGCAAGAAATCAACGAAAGAGTTTTCGCTATTTACCTTAAACATCAGCCTTGGCTTGTGCACAATCACCGGTCTCAAAGATGAAACAGAATCAACAATCCAGCAGCACTGAATAACTACATAAAGTACACGGTAATCGCCACCTGTAGGAATTGGGAGAAATTCACACTACCCTTGCAAGATTGTAGCTCAAAGCCCTATTTAATTGCTGAAGATGCAGAAGAGGCTGTGGAAGCCTCTGCTATTAAAGAGACTGGTTGGCAAGCCTGTAGACAAGCACCTATGTCGAATGGCCGCAACTCAGATCCATCAAAAAGAAGATTGACGCCAGGAAGGACTACCTCTTTGCCATCAGAATCATCTGGCTCAACTTTTCCAGAATTGACAGGAGGGGATTCTTCAATGGGCCTTGTGGCAGCCTCATACACAGGAGTAAGAGCATATGATCTGCAGACAGAATCCCAAAAATTATTGTAGTTTCAGAAGTTCTGGCAATACTAACCAATATATCAAACATAATTTCTTTTCATTCTTTTTATGATTGTTAACAAATATTCAAACAAAGCATGAAAAGATAACCATTTCAATTTGATTTTGCTTAGTAATATGAAGTCATTTTTACATACATCGGCGGATTTCAGCAACAAATTGCCAATATAAGGTTTTGTAAAAATTTGAAAGATGTTCTTACCTCAGTCTATTATTCCTATTATCATTTTTGTCATTCTCTAAATGAACCAATCATACATGACAGATTTGTGCACACAAATATATGCCACAATCAAAAGAATCACCAATTGACCAACAGTTACCACGACATAATCATCTCTCTTTGATTAGATTCAACAGAACAACTAGAAGAAGGAACTAGTCGATGGAAGCTGAAAAGTATTCAGACCAGCACAACTAAGTAGGAATCACACGTTTGCAACGAAGATATGAAAGTGAATAACCTTTGGTGAAAATGAATCAATTAAAACAAAATAGGAAAGAAACAGGTAACAGAAAAATATTTATGAGTTAGCCCATAACCCAATTGCCTAACAGACATTAGCAAAAGTCAGGTATCTTTTTTTTGTAAGCATAGACAATGCAATGTGACTCAAATTCTCGAACATGTTAACATTATATAAGATTATTTCATTAAGCAATGATCCATCTAAAATAAGCACAAATTTAGGAACATGGATCGTTCAAGTATGAGATCGTGGTACACCAAATGCTCTAAAATATGGTACGATAGAGGTAGGGTTTTATAGAACACATTACTCTAATTTAAGAAGCTACTAAATATAATAGCAATTATGTTTTAATAGTTAAGACGTCTAACAAAATATAGTTATAATTTATAAATTAATCGTGTAAAAATACAATTCTAGAAGGCATTACGGCTTCTTCTTTTTTTTTACATTTGATCATGTAAAAACTTTATTTTCTCTAGATTTTAGTTCATTATATTTTGGAAAAATTAATAAAACATCCCTCTCTAACGTAGTAGAGATCCAATATGTTTTTTCTTATTAGTAAAGGTCAATCAATAATATTATTAGAGAAATTTCAGCTCGTCACAGAGAAGATTTCTCTATAAAAATTTCGCATTTCCTTTATCTTATAAAATCCTAATATTAGGGACATTAAACTAAAAATCCCAACTACTATAAAAATATTACATGTCATTTATCTTATAAAATCCTAATATCAGGGACCTTAAACTAAAAAATCTTTCTATTTTATGGTTTTTCCTCCTATACAAACTTTTAAGAAAATATATAAGAAAAATTTTGGGATTGCTATGGATCACTATGGATCTCTAAATTCTCCACTTACAAACGGAAGTGTACCATGTATCGGAACATGCATTCCAAAACGTAAATCGCTAGAGTATTAGCATTTTCGGTAACGTCAAATTTAACCCTTGAAGAACAATCTCCCGAAATTGACTTTCTTCCCATCTAGCCACCTCCATGTTTGACATAGAACACTATACAGAAGGATAAGAAGAACAAGGGCCACAACCCTAATACAGACGGCTACAACCTTAATTTCAATATTGTTAATACAAAGTTGAATGTTACAATGCAAAACCCTAATATTAATAGACTAAAAACCTTAATTCCAAATAAGAAACTAAATCCATAAATAAATAAATAAATAAAAACAAATATTACTAAAATCCTAATTAAACTAAAAAAAAAATATTAAAGACAAAAATAAAATTATAAAAATGTAAATAAGGTCTCCATGAGCATCACTAAACATTCCACATCATTCTCCTTGATAAAGAAAAGAACTTGTTCACGAGTTTTCATTTAAATAATGAACTCATCCATGCCAACAAATCAAATATTTCGAATAACCCAACTATGTGCCAATTTTCTTCTTTACATGCTCTGCATAAGTGATACTTCTAAAGAAACAAAAGCAGTTTTGCCAAGAGAATAACAAACAATATATATGCACCACAATAATCCCAGTACTAGTAAAAGTTAACACAAGATATTAAAAATAGCAACAAACATGTAAATAAGATGTGGTTTGGGGAGTCTCTGGGGCAAAATGTGTTTTTTCAGTCTCGTCTTTTTATTTGTCCTTGTGTGGTGGTGGCGGGGGAGTGTTCCCTTGGCTTGGTGTGTGGGTTTCTGGTGTTCCATCGAAGGTGGATTTCTTTGTGTGGACAGCCGCTTTTGGTCGGATCTTGACTATTGATAATCTGGTTCGTCGGCATCATATTCTGGTTAATTGGTGCTGTATGTGTTGTGCGGATGCGGAGACAATAGACCATTTGCTGATTCATTGTCCGGTTGTATCTCGTTGGTTGTTTTCTCTCTGTTTGGCGTGGTGTGGGTTCAACCGAGGCAAGTTATGGATGTGTTGCGTTGTTGGGGGGGTGGTCGAGTTAAGAAGCGGCGACGACGGGTGTGGGTGTTGGCACCTTTGTGTTTGATGTGGTTGGTATGGTTGGAGCAGAATTGTCAGATCTTTCAAGGAAACGCTCAGTCCTTAGCCCATTTAGAGTCTCGATTCCTGGGTATTTTGTACAACTGGGTGTTAGGACGAGTGAATCTTGATTTATTTGTTCTTTTAGACTTTGTTGATGATATAGTTAGTTAGGCCCCTACTCTTCATAGGGTTGGTTTTGTATTCTTTTCGCATCTTCTTGATGCTTTGGTAATAAAAATTCATTTATCAAAAAAAAAAAAAACCTCTGCCAGATTTGACCTCCCTAGGCTTATGAAACACCCCTTTGAGTATCAAATGCTTGAGTTACCAATAAAAATAATCCATATATAAGCCTCTTCTAAGGCTTAAATCACATTCTATCAGAGTACGATTTGATTATTGTCATTGGGAAGGCTAGGAATCCAAAATTTATTATTACCATTATGGGAAATAGAACATAAGATATTGAATGATTAACAAGAGGAATGGAATGTAATGGGCACAAAAATCTTCAAATAGCGAGGTGAAAAATCTAGCAAAAAAGGAGAGGCATAGTGTTCCAAAGTGTTTATAAGGGCCATTCACACCAACTCCTGATGTTCACGTTTTGGCTTTAAGGTGTCAGGGTGGAGTAGGTTATTAAAGTTCAGATTCCAACATTTCGTATTTCCCTTTGAAGAATGAACGGGGAAAAACAAAAACAAAAGCAAGAGAAGCACAAAAAAAACGTATGCATTAAAAGATAGTAACATATCATACAAAATTGCAGTTAGACTAGAATTACAACGACAGAGTGGATAAAGAATCAGCAAGTGCAAACACACAAAAGAAGATCAATTAAGACACACCTCAAAATGTTACCATCAAAGCTCAGAACTTCCGTGCGGCAACGTTGTCGATTGGCAAGCTTTAATCTTTGATGCTCACTCGAGGCTCCAGAAATGGGAGAAGAAGGGTCCACAAGTGGATTCCACCTTCCACTTGCATAGTTCATAAGTTGTCGAGATGAATCCTTTGATTGCTCTCTTTGGTAAAGAAGTCTTGCAGTTGGACCTGTTGCTTGATATTCGGCACAAATATCACGCAACCTGTTCCTTAGGTCTTGCATTCCATTATGATGTTCATTTTGAAAATTTGTTTGAAGCAATTGTGAAGAAACCACTCTTTTACATATATCATTGCATAATTTTGGGCTGAACAGCGGAATCCCAAAATCCACACTCAATGGAACCCATTCATACTTCTCTTCATCAGGTGAAAATTGATCCGACTCTCTTTCCTTGAAAAGTTTTAATAGGCGCACATAACCAATGGTCCACAGCTCTATCTTATTTGCCAGATAAGTTAAAATATAGTTCAACTTCAAACTTTCCTCTGCGCATAGACCCAATTCCTCCCCGATATGAGCAATTGAACCATCAGAGTTTTTCAAGGGCAAAGGAACATCGATAGTAATTATTCTTCCATGCTCATCAAGGTCATACCTACTGAGGGGCTGCACCAGCACAGCTGAGTATTTGAGAAGTGAATTTAAGCAATGTAGGAGTATACTTCCTTTAACTAAATTTCCTTCAAACTTGCCTCCCAAACCTCCAATTGTAGATCCATCCCAAGACCATATAAGAGCTTTTTCGCAACCAGCCAGTGGTGCAGGAAGCAAACGTAAGCATTGGCCTTTCATCAAAACAACAGATAGAGGTCCACTAGATATAGCTGAATATAGTACCAATTTCATCCAAGGTGACATAGATGAATGACAGGGAGGACCAAAATGAATGGGACCTTTAGGTCCAGGTAGAACTGAAGAATGAGGAAGAGGAACCATAGATACAACAATATCATAGTCACGAAGAAACAACCTATCCAAAGTTGATGGTGCAAGAGCGGCCAGGCTTTCACAGCGTAGGATATCTACACGGTATTTCCTTTTTCTCCTTGAAGGACCTTTCTCACCATCTGAAACTTCAGCTGAAATTAATTTCTCATCATTCTGGAAACTAGGATCTGATTTCAAATCCTCATTTAGGCAATGACCCTCTTCAGACAAAGTGGCAGAAACTGTCTCATTATCAGTACTTCCAGATATAGGAGGATCGGCAAGAAAGGAATCCTCTGCATTTCTTGAATGCATGGAATCATCATTATTTAGAATAGCTTCATCTGTATCAGAACGTTCTGCTTTGTCAGTCAAAGTGATCTCAGCTATTGAAGAAGTAGCCTCCTCATTGCCCGTAGATATCGTGCTCATCTTTTCACAAACTTCTACAGTTCTCTCATCAATAGCAACTCCACCAGATATCAAACATTCTAGAACACATCGGAGACTAAATGCATGATTGGCAAACTCCTGCAGTTCTCCCTCAAATTTTGTTCCCTCTAATGTACTCAAATCCTTGCAAAGATCTGCAATGCTAGTATGGCCTAGTTTTCCTGCTTCATATAATGTTACAGCATGAGATTTCAAGCCTGCAAAAGACATTAAAGAACAAAAAAATGAAATCAGAAATCAGAAATAAAAGTAATGACAATCATAAAGTTGGCAGACTTTCTGTGACTGGTTAAAAATATATAAAACCCCCTACACCAAGATTCAACTTTCCACTCAAATTTATGTAAATTCAATGCCCAGAATAAAATGGAGATGATGTTCAAATCTACCAAAAAAAACAAAAGCAACTGATGTATTTATTGGAAGTACAACAAAGAAATTGATGTAGCATAAGAAGGAAACAGTTGCATATTATCATCAATCAACTTAATCATTGTCATCAGTATACTTTTTCAAATGCAACTACAAATACAGTGCTCAATGATCAAATCCCAACAAAATCAATTTAATAAACAACCTACTTGACGAACTAATCAACTAACAAATGGTTCCTTAAACTCTGGCCATCTCTGCAGAAGCTAAAACACATCTTAATGAAATAGACGCCGAAGACAACTCAAAATGAATCTTACTTACCACTAAAGGACATTTTAAGATAAATAAAAAGTTAAAAAGAAAATGTATTAAAGAAAATGCTATTTCCCACTGTTATCCCCAATAATCAAGGATGCTGGGATGGGAGACTGTGAGTAGACCTAACCTTCGATAATCTAATCTATACAGGAGGACTGCCTTCAGACTTGAACCCATGTTCCTCACACTCGGCAGCCGAAGCCTTTACCGCTTCTGCATGCAATGGTCTCATTTACAAAAAAATAAAAATAACCTAATTTTTTTTGGTATTGAATCACCTTGGAGTGCAAGATATAACATAAACCCTGTCATACAAGGACATACAATTTCTCACTCTTGAGCAAATCTTATTAAACCAGATCCATGGCCAAAACCATATCTTCTTCATTCATTCCACATAATTTCTACCACCAGTAGTAAATACCAATATTATATGTAATGTTATGTCAATTTTTCTTTGTGTTTATTTTTTCTTCAGAATAGAAACTTCAACTATTTACCTCCCACAACTCACACCATGTATGCAATCTTAAAAATCCACTTCAAGAATTACCTCTCACAACACATGTCATGTAGCAAATCAACATGCAATCTTAAAAATTCATGTTAAGCACAGTAGGATTATAAATTTATAATGGATCCCACAGCATGCTGGCATTAACTGAAACAGAACTTTAAACGCACAACAGAGCTTTCTTAATCATTCCCTGTGGATGCAACCCACAAAATACAAATCCAGTTGGAACAATAAACCCATTTGGCCAGTTGAAGTCATGAACATATGAATAGGTAGTCCAGGACCAACCCAGTAACAAAATTTGACAAGAAAGACGACCAAACCTGACATGAGCAGCAGCCAGCACTAATATAACTGGTCTCTATCATTATATGATTGGGATCACTGGGTACACATCTTCCGTTGGCTATGACTATGGCTTAATAATTGAATCATCTCCACAATAACCAAACCCTAACCTGTTAGGGTTAAAAATGAATGAATCCAATGTCATCTATGCCATGTTTTTTGGGCTGTCATCCTATGATAGTTTTGACCATCTACAGATTCCATGCTTTGGAACCTAAACTTAGAAGGAATACCTTTGTCAAAGTTCCAAACAAGATATTCATCAGCAGCAACCCTAAAAACACATTGATAATTCAGACAAGCTATTTGCATGTAGACAACATGCCCCTGACCTTCTAAATTCTTTCAGAATAATATGCTAACAAATTTTTTTTTTGGGTTTCCTTTTCTGTCTTCCTTTTTTATTTTTCAATTTTTGTGGAGGAATTCTTTCTTAAGAGGAACTTGTTTGCCCGGGAAAAGGAACCTTCCCCAAAAGGTGTTTTTTAAAGCATAAACTTCCTCATTAATTCAGTATTCAGGTCATGAATAACGCTCCGTTTGTTTGAGCAGAACATATTTTCTGGAAAATGTTTTCCGTATTTTCTGGTGTTTGGTACAATGGAAAACGAAAGTCAACGAAAAACATTTTCCATGGTCAATGAAAAGCAAGTTTGTTTGGGCAGAAAATGTTTTCTTCTTTTAAAAGGCAAAAAACATTTTCTAGGCTAAAATTTTACCAATATCACCACACCACTATCACCACGGCCACCGCCACCATCACCGCCATCATTGCCCCGCCACCATGCCACCACATCCACCTCTACCTTCATTCCACCACCACCACCACCAAACAAAGAAAATTTTCTCCAAAAAACATTTTCTGAAAAAAGTTTTCCATAGAAAATGTTTTCCACCAAAACAAATGCAGCGTCAGAAAGGATAACCCAGATTCTGAGGTACTACAGTATTATGAGTTTGTCACCACAGATTGAAGCATTTTCAGGGCCTGCTATGCCTTCTCTAACCAATTTAATGACATTCTAGCAACCACTCTTAACAATTTAAACAATAAACAAACTTTAACCCATAAATTGACCCCAAAAACATGGCACAAAACTGGATCCATGGGCAAACCCTAAAGCCCCTCTCGAACAATTTGAAAGTTTATCAAGATATCCCTTAGGCCTCGTTTGGGAACAGGCTAATTTAGTAACTTTTTGGCTATTTGGCTAAAAAGGTAGGTAAAAAAAACTTGTATGTTTGGGATGACTTTTTGGCTAATTACGAAAAGATGTGCAAAAAGTAGAAAGAAAAGAGAATCTTTGACTTTTTGGTATGAGTTGTTGGCTTTTTGGCTAATTTAGTAACTTTTTGGCTAATTGGCTAAAACAGCCTCTTGCCAAACGAGGCCTAAATCTAATAAAAAACCACTACATATGTCTAGCAGCATTAGAATAGATTAAAATATATATATATACAAACACACGAATAAGATTCAAATAAGGCTAAACAAGTTAATAAAGCATTCAAAGTGTACTCCATGTGAAATTCTAGATTTTTCCTTTTTTCCATGCTCCACACAATTTTCATTTGTACAGAACTTCATTATTCCACTAATGTTCTGTTTTAGTCTCTTAGGAAATGAAAAAGTTTTGGCCATATCCTCAGAAACAAAAGAAAATTATGTTCCTTGATTGTAAATGTGTAAATTCGTCAATTTAGGAACTCCATTAGTAAGAAATTGATAAAGAAAAACATTTAAAAGGTAAAAAGGATGGGTAAATTCAACACTTACAGCCATCCATGAAGAAATAATATAAAATGAAGTGGTTTGTTCAGGAGAAGAATATGGATGGCTTGCCATCCATGAGAAGACAGTACAAAAATGGAGAAAACAAGGAACAAACCTGGTGAAACAGACCCCATCATAAGATATGACGTTATATTTGCATCAACAACAAAAGCAACACGAGCATAACCAGAGGTTGAGCCAGGGCCACAGGTTTCTGCGCCTGAAGTATCTCCTTGTTGAACAGTACTGCCCTCAATTGACGTGTTCAATGAGCTAACACTAGCATGAGAACCATCTTCATCATCACTGAGATTAATGTTGAGAGTACCCGGTGTGGTTGAATCATAAAGAACAGATGCTGGATCAATTAATTTTACTGCCCAACCTAATCGACAAGCAAATGATGCAGCAGCCTGCAGCTGAGAAAGGTCAGCCTGTAAGGTGGCAGCCAATTCAGCCACAGTTGAATTTTCGCTTGAAACCACAAAAACAGCATACAGTAACCTGGACAATGGACTTAATCTCGTTAAGATCTTAACTTCTCCGCTTTGAAGATAAATTCAAATGAAAAATAAGATATAAAAGAACTGCCTTACTCCTCAATAGGATCTTCATATGACTGCTCCCTGTTGGAAACAAACCCTTCAAGCCTGGAAACTGAACCATCATGTACATTAACAATCCGCATTCACAAATGGCAAGGAAAAGGCCACAAACAGGACAAACTGAGTAAACACATTTATTAACCACTTGGGATAGCCAGTGACCTACCTTGCTAGGAGGTCACGAGTTTGACTCCTCCCCCTCCAATGGACCCCGAAAAAAAAAATGTTTATTATCTTGCTCCATTTCCAGAAAAATCGCACCAAAGGAGCAACATTATCATTTTCCTTATTCTTTCAAGCTCATAATTGCCAAGGATCTTGTGGAGAATGTAGTGGCGGTCATTAGGAAAGTGGATAGGATTATGTTAGTTAAACTAGTTATTGGAGGGAATATAGTAAACATTATTAGTGCATACACCCCTCAAGTAGGATTAGATGATCAGAGTAAGCGGGATTTTTGAGAGCAACTGGATGAGATCTTACAGGAGATACCCGTAGGAGAGAACCTGGTTATAGGTGGAGATTTTAATGGCCGTGTAGGCATAGATAAACTAGGCTTTGAAAGGGTGCATGGTGGATATGGTTTTGGTGACAGAAATGAGACTGGAAAGAGCATCTTAGATTTTGCATAGGCTTCTGAGCTGGTAGTGACCAATACTATGTATAAGAAGAGGGAGGAGCACTTGATAACCTTTAAGAGTGGGTCAGTTAAGAGCCAAATAGATTACTTCTTAGTGAGAAAAGTGGACTGCCTAAAATGTAATGATTGTAAGGTGATTCCTAAAGAGAGCATGACCTCTCAACATAGGATTTTGGTACTAGATTTATATTTTAAAGGACAATACCAAGCTAGGAAGGATGGTGGGCGTTTTAGGACGACATAGTGAGACCTAAAAGAGGATAAACTAGAAATATTTAATAATAGAATGGATAAGGAAAGTACTTGGGATAAGGAAGGTACTTGGGACTTGGAAGATGATGCTAACACTATGTGAAACTCAATGGCCAGTTGTATGAAGAGAATCTCAAGGGAGGTACTTGGAGAGTCGAAAGGAACGGGACCCAGCTCTAGGGAAACTTGGTGGTGGAGGGAAGAGGTTCAAGTAATAGTTAAGGCAAAGAAAAAAGAGTGCTTTAAAAAGTGATAGAATGATAGAACTGAGAAAAATCTTAAGAGCTATAGATTGGCTAATAAGAAGGTCAAGAAAGTAATGAGTGAGGCTAAGTTGAAAGCTTATGATGACCTATACATTAGATTAGATAGTACAGAGGGAGAGAAGAGGATATACAAACTTGTTAAGATATGGGAGAGGAAAACAAGAAATTTTAATCGAGTTAAATGCATCAAGAGTGAGGATTCTAAGGTAATGGTGAAGGATGAAGACATTAAAGAAAGATGGAAGAACTACTTTGAGAAACTATTAAATGAGAAACATGGAGGTACATCAATAAGGGAAAAAATAGCCAGTAATACGATAAACCAAGACTATAGGTTCTATCGCAGGATTAGAAACTTTGAAGTGGAGATTACACTTAAGAAGATGAAATCACATAAGGCTTTAGAACACGATGATATCCCTATTGAAGCTTGGAGGAGGTGCTTGGGTAAAAAAAGGGTTGCTTGGTTGCCTAGGTTGTTTAGCAAAATTTTGTTAATTAGGAATATGTCAAATGAGTGGAGGAAGAGTATTTTAGTGCCAATATAAAAGAATAAAGGAGATGTCCAGAATTGCAACAACTATAGAAGAATTAAACTAATGTGTCATATAATGAAAGTGTGGGAGAGGGGGATGCAATGCCGATTGCGAAATATAACAGAGGTGTCAGAGAATCAATTTAGGTTTATGCCTGGCAGGTCAACAACGGAAGCGATCCATCTTTTAAGGAAAATAATAGAAAATTATAGAGAAAAGAAAAGCGACATTCATATGATGTTTATCGACCTTGAGAAAGCATATCATAGAGTATCTCGGGATATAATATGGTGGGTGTTAGAGAAAAAGGGGTGACAAAAGGTTACATTAATGTGATTAGGGACATGTATGAAGGGGTGGTGACCACTATTAGATCGCCTTCCGGAAAGACAAATGAATTTCTATCACTGTAGGGTTACACCAAGGATCTACCTAAGTCCTTATCTTTTTGCTTTAATTATGGATGAGTTGACGAGAAATATTCAGGATGACGTACCATGGTGTATACTTTTTGCAGACGATTGGTTGAGACTAGAGAAGGAGTTAACACAAAATTAGAGATTTGGAGAAAAGCACTTGAATCTAAAGGATTCTGGATAAGTAGAACTAAGACAGAGTATATGGAGTGTAAATTTAGTAACAGAAACAATGAAAACAGAGGAGAAGTGAAGATTGAGAACCAAGAACTGCTTAAGAGTGAACATTTTTGTTATTTAAGGTCGATTATCACAACAGCAGGGGAGATTGATGCGGATGTGGCCCATAGGATTAAGGCGAGATGGTGTAAGTGAAGAAGTGCGTCTGGGGTACTATGCGATAATTAAATACCCACTAGACTAAAAGGTAAGTTCTATAGAACGGCTATTAGACCAGCGATGCTAGAGTATATGGAGTGTAAATTTAGTAACAATAACAATGAAAACAGAGGAGAAGTGAAGATTGAGAACCAAGAACTGCTTAAGAGTGAACATTTTTGTTATTTAAGGTCGATTATCATAACAGCAGGGGAGATTGATGCGGATGTGGCCCATAGGATTAAGGCGAGATGGTGTAAGTGAAGAAGTGCGTCTGGGGTACTATGCGATAATTAAATACCCACTAGACTAAAAGGTAAGTTCTATAGAACGGCTATTAGACCAGCGATGCTGTATTGGATAGAGTATTGGACAACCAAGAAACATGTAAATAAGATGAGTGTGGTTGAGATGAGGATGTTAGGGTGGATGTGTGGCAAGACTAGACAAGACATAATTAAGAATGAGTGTATCCAGGAATGGGTAGAAGTAGCACCAATAGAAGATAAGTTAAGAGAGAATCGATTGAGATAGTTTAGTCATATTTAACGAAGACCAACAGAGACAATAGTAAAGAGATACGATGCAATGACGGTAGATGGAAGTGTTAGGGGACCGGGTAGGCGTAGATTAACGTTGGCTAGCATTATAAATAGAAATATGGATCTACTTAATTTGACTAACGAAATGACCTTTGATAGAGCCGCGTGGAGAAGTATGATTCATATAGCCGACCCCATTTGATGGAACTTAAGGCTTGGTTTGGTTTGATTTGGTTTCAAGCTCATAGGCAAATAATAGGAAAGACACAAATGTGTCTATTTTTTGTAGTAAAACAACCTATTAGATAAAATATAAGGTTTAGTGAATTAAGTTGGACCAATGATGAAAGAGCATTAATAGAAAAACAAAAATAACCATCACTGAAGTTCAAAATAAGTAGTTCTATAGGGCAAGAAATAATTTCAGGGATGCATCCTGTAAACAGTTATTTCAATATATATATATATCTAAAGGATAACTAGAAATCAATGTCCTTGAAGAACAACTTCCATTTCCTCCATTAAAAAAGAAGGTTCTTATAGCCAGAAGGAACCCAAAGTTCTTTCTACTCATTAAGAAATAAGAGTCAAATAAAGGTTCTCAATGATCTATGCAAATCTATTGGTCAAATTTTAATCCAATGCTCTTGATCAGCCAGCAAGTGCAAGTTTACAAGATGTTCAATTAACAAATGATGAACAAAGAGAACTTTCGAAGACCAATTGGGATGGACTAAAATAACCACAAATATATCAAACAAATTAAATTTGAGATTAAAAAAAATGAAATAAAATAAAATTGTGCAAATCATCTAACACTATTTGGCAGAATAGCATGCTCCCACAAAGAAAATACATGATATGGACCTTCTAAAATGAAATACTCAAGGTTATGAGAAAAGAAAAGTAAATAAAATTGACAATAAAATAAATAGAAGAAGAAGAAGAAGAAGAAGATGAAGATGAAGAAGAAGAAGACATAAACAGGAGAAAAAAAATAAAAGGAAAACTAAGCAACTAATTTTGATATGACAATTCTGGATGCAAAGAAATTACCTTTAAAACGATCATCAGGATAAACAGGGACATCAAAGTAGATCAACCCCCTTCGGAAAAGGCCCTTTACAATTTCAGGATCAAAAAGTATGAATGAATTTGTTTCCTCCTTACAAACTTTATCAATTGTTGCCATTTCTTCTTCTGAGAGTTTCTACAAAAGATGAGGGGGGAACAAAACCCCTCTAAAATTAATCAAATAAAGAAAAAATGGAAGTTATACCCAAAAATGTGCATAGTTGAGGGCTTTATGTCTATGCTTCACTGCCAATAAATTTGAGGAAGCACTAACTAGTTCGTACTTCCAGTTCAGTATCATTAGGTGGACTGGACACCTTACCTTAAATTCTTCCAATGTAAAGTTGACAAGACAAACTCCCCACCATGGCTCAATCCCAAAGTCCACAGGCTGTATAGGTAATAACTCTTTCGCGATTGACTTGTTCAGCTTCCACATAATTTTCTGGACGGCTCCAAAGAGTAAAAAATAGTCAGGAAACAATAAGTGTGATCCGTCTCTGAATATAACTCACCATAAAATACCAGAATAGTATATTTTAAACAAATTTCCACATTCAGCAAATTTGAAGACCCCAAAATATTTTAGCAAGCCTACAGAATTACGAAGAGCAATACATATGGTTAACAAAAATAAAGCTCATGACCAAGGTTCTGAAAAGCGGTTGCGGTTGCCGTAACGGTGGCGGTGATGCGGTTGCGGTTGCGGTTGCGGGGTGTAAAGGCTGTAGTGTAACAGTTGCGGTAACCGGAACCGTGAATTTTTTTATTTTTCACACAATTTGAAAAAAACTTACCGATACGCATATTTTTTTTCCATGATCATATTTATTGGGTTAAAAATAAATATTGATCAATTTTTGTAAATTTTTAAGTATGATCCAATATATTTCATATTTTTAAATCACTATAAATTGAGTTTTTTACATTTTATTTTAATAATTAATGACTTTATATTATACAAAAAATCAATCACTAACTATTATATATAAGATAAACAATGACAAAAGTAATAGAATAAATAAGAGCTTAAATGTATATATATATATATATATATTTTTTAACCAAGCTAAATGGTTAATGACCACACTTATTATTATTATTATTATTTTCAAACAATATATAGATAGACACACACAAACAAAATGATTTAGTGATAGCAGCTGAATAGAATAGCATAGGTCTTACAACTTCAACAAATCAATAACATGTTCTTCATCTTCCCTCTTCTCTGTCTCTCTCTATCTCTTGCTCCTCTATTTTTTCTCTTTATCTTCCCTCTTCTCTCTATCCCTCTTCCCCAATTTTCAGCTTTTTTTTTGTATGTTTTTTCGAAAAAAACAGTTTAGAACCGTTACGTAACGGTGCGTAACAGGCCGTTATGGCTGTTACGGTACCATTACGACCGCTACGGCAGCCGCTACGGCCGACACACCTGTGAATCTCAATCACACTGCAAAAGCAGCCGTAACGGGTGGCGGTAACCGCCAAAACCGTTACGTAACGGCGTTACGTAACGGTTGCGACCGCTTTTTAAAACCTTGCTCATGACAAAGAATTAAAACTTCTTATCCTCTAGATACTTATTATCCGTTAGAAAGGCTCATGACAAAGAATTAAAACTTCTTATCCTCTAGATACTTATTATCCGTTAGAAAGGAAACAGATTGTCATCCAAAGATGAAAATATTCTGTCAGTCATGGTTTTACATCTCATGGTTTAATAAAAAAATGCATTATTAATACAAGATGATGAAGCGATGATGAAGCAGCATCCAAGATGTATGCAAAGGCCAAATGAGCAGACTAGCAAAACCATCTCAGACCAATAGGTTTGGCTTTCAGCATTAACCAATTGAACTCACACTTTTTTTCTAAGTAAAACACTCAAAACTTTTTTTCCTGCCCGCATTTCTCCTTACTTTCATCTTTACAAACAGCCTTTTTGTCACTGGGAATGAACGGAAAATAGTATTTCAAGACAAAGGAGTCTTCTGTGGAGGCAGTGGCAAAAGAAGTCATCTCTCAGGTTGTCCCTAGAAGTCTTTAATGAAAAACTGGCAGTCACAAGAATTGCTAGGTGCTTCTTTGGAGGACTCGCGATGAGATGAAAGGTAGTCAGATATCGCAAGAAATACACATTTCACTGTCAATATCTTCAACTCTCTACCAACTTGACTAATAAGTATTCCACAACATGAGAATACTACATACTAACAATTGTCACTAGATCACGGACATGTAACAAGTAAATATTTAACATATAAGGCTCCCCTTTCCCTATGCCTCTTTCTCATCTCTGTCTTTCATTCTCTATAATATATGAAACACTAAAATAGTAAAGTTTAGCATTCATTTTCACTCATTTATTCTCATCTTACATCTGAACTCTCATTAATTATAAATCATTATCCATAATATACTATATTGTGCCTAATTTATGTTAGTATTCCCACTTTAAAGTTACGGAGAGGGGCACTACAAACCAGCCCCAAACCCGGCCCGTTGCTGTCGCAATTGTAGGGCAGAGGCGGGGGGTGATGGCATGGTGGTGTAGGATCAGCGGTTGTCGTGGCTTGATTTTTTGCCATGGTGGTGACGGTGGCCAACAGTTGTCAATGGTGGCTGGTGGAAAAAAAGGAAGGTAGAGGGGAGGGATCTTGGCCAAGAGGGCAGTGGTAAGGATGAGTTGATCTGTAGGGGGGTGGAGGAGAAGGAAGGGGAGGGAAGGGTAGGAGGCGGTGGTCTGTGGTGGGGTGCAGCCTTGTAGGAAAGGGGATGAGGGGAGGGGAGGGGAGGGAAAGGGAAAGGGATGGCCATAAAAAGAATGGTGGCATGGAGGAGATTGGAAGTGGAGGGGAGGGGAGGGGAGGGGCTAACCATGAGCGTTGTGGGGCAGACTAAAGGAAAGGTGGAAGGAGAGGGGAAGGTTTGGTTGAGATGGGAGCTAGAGTTAGAGTAGGGGGAGAAAATGTTTAGGTGGTGTAGACCACATTTTAATGGGTGATATGTCATGATGTGAAGATGCTTAATGTAATTAGAAGATAACATTTTGGAGGGTAGACAATTTTTTAGTATTTCCATGGATTACCCTTGATGTAGGTTGAATCAGGGTTGCCCGGTGTCCCATGGCATTTTTCATCACAAAATCATAATGGTTGTTCAAAATTGGACCAAAGTAGGAAAAGTCAGGTGGTTCAAGGACCAAAGTGGGAGAATCTTTTCTTTACGAATAAAAGGGGTGAAAGCATAATTTACCCATAAAAAATGAATCCATATAATCATACTGATATAACGGCTCTTCTACAAATATCAGGTTGTAAATATGTGAAGATCGGTAATCATTTTTATACATCAAGAAAGACTAAAATTGATAGAGGTGTGTAGACAAATGTAGGTACTAGCAAGCAAGTTACCATATAAATGTTTTTAAACTGTACCTTAGATCTACACTTGTTCATGATATCAATAAATTCATTTCTTCCTATTCCTGTAAGTCGCAAAGCATCTGCAGCACTAAAATTCGGGATGCTGTCATAAGGTTGCTCTGCAGATAATAGAAAAGGATATGAATGATAAAACACCAATGAAATTTGAATAAAATATTGACACATCTTGCTAAAGTGAATATACAGCTATGCAGAGAACAAAACCAGGACAGGTGGAGTAACACCGAAACATAGATCCAATCACAGGAAATTTCATTTAAAGAGATAGTAACGAACTAAAAAAAATAATAATAATAATAATTCAAACTTCAATCACATTGTGTCAGATAGTCATTCCTGCACTAACCCTATTACATGTGGACAAGCAAACGGGCATAACCTACCAGCAATTGTCACATATTGTATGTGCTAGAGTACAAAGATTGTAGAAAATGTACAACCTCCTTGATCTCCTCTGATTTGAATAAGTAAATACTGACAAAAGTGTTAATTCATAAGGGCTGTTTGGGAAGTGAAATTTTAGCCTAATTTAGGCTAAAATTCACAAAAAGACAAAATAGGCTAAAATAGCCAATAAGACAAAATGTCATATCAAACTCATAATCATTTCACTTTTTCTCTCACAAATATCACATCCAACTACAAAAAAAATCCAATCATCTTCCCAAACACAAAAATTTTAGCCTACTAAAATAGCTAAAAACTAAAATAGCCTACTAAAATAACAACTTCCCAAACACGCACATAGTGATATGAAAAGACCATCATAATTTCTGATTCAAGCACGATGACCACATATGTTTGTGAAAGCAAAAAGCACATGGCAGTGCTTGGTTCAATAACCAAATTCCTGATAGTGTAGAGCAATACAACCCATACTGTGTTTCATATCCAAAAATGTGGTTTCTTCAGGGAAATTTAAAACCAACATACTAGTCACAAAGAAACAGCTTGAAGGGCACCTCACAGAAAGATGCCATCCGAATTAATGCACTACAACTTCTGAATACATAAGCTAAGCATAATATAACAAATGAAATGGCCGCACCTTTAGCGAAATCATATTAAATCTTATTATTAAAAAAATAATAATAAGTACCATTTTTCATGACTTCAAAAATCATATCGCAGTAATATCTGAAAGGTGATACCCTCATTACACGGCAAACATACTCCGCAAGGTGATAAGGAAACAGCTGCAAACAAAAAAATTAACAAGTAAACTGCATGATTCCAAAGATAAAAGAAAAAAAGGAGCCACTGCTAACTGAACATCTAAGTCCTAGGGTACTGTTTCTATAAAATTTTTACTTCATCAGTAAAAAGAGAAAGTGCTATAATAAAAAATATTGTTGTATCATGTAACAACTCCCATTTGATGGGACTTAAGGCAAGGCTTGGTTTGGTTTGGTTATCTTGTAACAACTGTGAAGTTGAAAAAAGGAAAAGAGGGAACTTTTTGTGCAAGAATGTGTAAACTAGGATATATTTTGAACAGTGACATGCATTCAAAATGGCCAAGGATGCATCTGAAAAGTGATAACATAGCATCCATTGAAACCATCCAGCCTCTCCATAACTGACATAGCATGGACCAAATTCATTGAAAAGTCCAAATATGAAGATTTATTTGGTGCTACATCCAACATGTACTTATTGATTCTCTCAGAGAAGTGAAAGGCAATACATGGTACATGCATGTTGGAACACTAAGGGGATGTTTGGCATCCCCTAATGGACCACATTTTAATGGGTGATATGTCATGATGTGAAGATGCTTAATGTAATTAGAAGATAACATTTTAGGGGGGTAGACAATTTTTTAGTATTTCCATGGATTACCCTTGATCTAGGTTGAATCAGGGTCGCCCGGTGTCCCGTGGCATTTTTCATCACAAAATCATAATGGTTGTTCAAAATTGGACCAAACTAGGAAAAGTCAGGTGGTTCAAGGACCAAAGTGGGAGAATCTTTTCTTTACGAATAAAAGGGGTGAAAGCATAATTTACCCATAAAAAATGAATCCATATAATCATACTGATATAATGGCTCTTCTACAAATATCAGGTTGTAAATATGTGAAGATCGGTAATCATTTTTATACATCAAGAAAGACTAAAATTGATAGAGGTGTGTAGACAAATGTAGGTACTAGCAAGCAAGTTACCATATAAATGTTTTTAAACTGTACCTTAGATCTACACTTGTTCATGATATCAATAAATTCATTTCTTCCTATTCCTGTAAGTCACAAAGCATCTGCAGCACTAAAATTCGGGATGCTGTCATGAGGTTGCTCTGCAGATAATAGAAAAGGATATGAATGATAAAACACCAATGAAATTTGAATAAAATATTGACACATCTTGCTAAAGTGAATATACAGCTACACAGAGAACGAAACCAGGACAGGTTGAGTAACACCGAAACATAGATCCAATCACAGGAAATTTCATTTAAAGAGATAGTAATGAACTAAAAAAAAAAAACATACACACACACAGACAGAAAAAAAATATATATATATCAAACTTCAACCACGTTGTGTCAGATAGTCATTCCTGCACTAACCCTATTACATGTGGACAAGCAAACGGGCATAACCTACCAGCAATTGTCACATATTGTATGTGCTAGAGTACAAAGATTGTAGAAAATGTACAACCTCCTTGATCTCCTCTGATTTGAATAAGTAAATACTGACAAAAGTGTTAATTCATAAGGGCTGTTTGGGAAGTGAAATTTTAGCCTAATTTAGGCTAAAATTCACAAAAAGACAAAATAGGCTAAAATAGCCAATAAGACAAAATGTCATATCAAACTCATAATCATTTCACTTTTTCTCTCACAAATATCACATCCAACTACAAAAAAAATCCAATCATCTTCCCAAACACAAAAATTTTAGCCTACTAAAATAGCTAAAAACTAAAATAGCCTACTAAAATAACAACTTCCCAAACACGCACATAGTGATATGAAAAGACCATCATAATTTCTGATTCAAGCACGATGACCACATATGTTTGTGAAAGCAAAAAGCACATGGCAGTGCTTGGTTCAATAACCAAATTCCTGATAGTGTAGAGCAATACAACCCATACTGTGTTTCATATCCAAAAATGTGGTTTCCATCGGGGAAATTTAAAACCAACATACTAGTCACAAAGAAACAGCTTGAAGGGCACCTCACAGAAAGATGCCATCCGAATTAATGCACTACAACTTCTGAATACATAAGCTAAGCATAATATAACAAATGAAATGGCCGCACCTTTAGCGAAATCATATTAAATCTTATTATTAAAAAAATAATAATAAGTACCATTTTTCATGACTTCAAAAATCATATCGCAGTAATATCTGAAAGGTGATACCCTCATTACACGGCAAACATACTCCGCAAGGTGATAAGGAAACAGCTGCAAACAAAAAAATTAACAAGTAAACTGCATGATTCCAAAGATAAAAGAAAAAAAGGAGCCACTGTTAACTGAACATCTAAGTCCTAGGGTACTGTTTCTATAAAATTTTTACTTCACCAATAAAAAGAGGAAGTGCTATAATAAAAAATATTGTTGTATCTTGTAACAACTCCCATTTGATGGGACTTAAGGCAAGGCTTGGTTTGGTTTGGTTATCTTGTAACAACTGTGAAGTTGAAAAAAGGAAAAGAGGGAACTTTTTGTGCAAGAATGTGTATACTAGGATATATTTTGAACAGTAACAAGCATTCAAAATAGCCAAGGATGCATCTGAAAAGTGATAACATAGCATCCATTCAAACCATCCAGCCTCTCCATAACTGACATAGCATGGACCAAATTCATTGAAAAGTCCAAATATGAAGATTTATTTGGTGCCACATCCAATATGTACTTATTGATTCTCTTTGAGAATTGAAAGGCAATACATGATGCATGCATGTTGGAACACTAAATCTCAAAGCTACACAAGCATGGAAAATGAGCACAAAACAGATATATTACTATTGTAGCAGTATGAACAACTTCTCTAAATACTTAAAAAGCAAACAGAATTTCCCTTATTACGCACCGCTAAATTCTTTCTCAAATAACGCATCATCTCTTCATAATATTCACCTTCTTTGATTACTTTGCGAGCAAAACAGGTGTTCCATTGGATTCTTTTCTTTATACAGTGTTCGATTATCCTGCACAAAGACAGCACATTGAGCAGATAAAAGGGTAAGACCATAGGCAAACAATAGAGTGCATTGCACTCTGGTCTATGTTACATGGACTCTTTTATTTATCCCAAAGTACTCATCATGTCTACCAAATACGATAAGGTTAAGGGTATTGGACAGGTGTCCAACATCCATACCCAATTTAGATACTTGGATCCTCTACTTTTTTTTATGATATTTGTAGAAGGCAAAACTCATATTTTCTAGTAAAGAAACATTTCTTGCCTCTAACTTGAATGAGAGAGATAGAAATTTCATATTTTCCCTAAATTTACTTAATTTCAAGTGTGTTTCTACATAATTTATAACATCTTATCTATGAGTGTGATATAATATGCAATATCTAATATCCTAAGATTTAGGTTTACGAAGGTATGATACTTGGACATGCATCCGCACCCGGTACTCTTACCAAGTCCATATAAAATAGATTCCAATTACAAAAGACCTATGTTACATGAACTCCTCTAAATGTAGGAAGTACCTATGTCAGACACTTGACACTTACGCAAGGGTATGGGATAGTGTCTGACATGTGTAGTTGGACATTCACCTAGCAAGTATATATAGTGTGAGAGCAGGAAGGTTTTGTTCTTATTGATTCCTTTATGAACGCATATGGGTTACAATTTATAGGTTGTGCAAAGCACTTGAGTAAGGATAAGATACAATCTATTTTGAATTTGAAACAAAGACCAAAAAACAGAAGGTGATAAGGATTAATTTGAATATGAGGATAACAACTTATCTTGATCTCTAATATTTAGTAATAAGAGTTACCAGAAAACTATGCATGAAATCCCCTTATTATGCATGAATGATCTATGGCATCTTGTTATCACCATTTTAACCCAGAAAATAAAAGAGGTATATTAAGAAATCTCCATATTTTCTGCGCCCCCGTGTCTTGAACATGGAAATTAGATGAATCGGACACTTGGACACATACCCACACCTAACACCCAAACCCTAAATCCGTTTAACATATGAAAAGACAAGAATCACAAGACTGAAGGTTCAAGAATAAATAAATAAACTGAGATGCAGTGAATGCCATGTGACAAACCCACACAGATTAAACTGAACATGAAATAGGAAACTGATGCAAATACAATCACACAATGCAAACACACAAATTTTACATGGATCTGCTTAAAGCCAACAAACTACATCCACATGCAAAGATGAGAAGATTTCACTAACAAAGAAAAAGTAGAAGGTGGCAATACAATAGTGGTTGCCCCAAAGCTCCCAAACCCTAACCCCTCTCTACACAAAATGAGCTCTTCACACAAATATATATATATATATATATA